TTTACAATAGCAAAGACCTGGAACCAACCCAAATGCCCATCGACGATAGACTGGATAGGGAAAATGTGGCACATATACACCATGGAATATTATGCAGCCATCAAAAACGATGAGTTTGGGTCCTTTGTAGGGACATGGATGAACCTGGAAACCATCATTCTCAGCAAACTGACAGAAGAGCAGAAGATCAAACACCGCATGTTCTCACTCATAGGCGGGTGTTGAACAATGAGAACACATGGACACAGGGAGAGGAGCACTACACACTGGGGTCAGTTGGGGGGAAATAGGGGAGGGACGGTGGGGGGTGGGAAGCTGGGGAGAGATAGCAAGGGGAGAAATGCCAGACGTAGGTGATGGGGAGGAAGGCAGCAAATCACACTGCCAAGTGTGTTCCTATGCAACAATTTTCCATGTTCTTCACATGTACCCCAAAACCTAAAATGCAATAAAATAAATAAATGCGGAAAAAAAAAGAATGAAGAAGAGGAAGAAAGAGAAAGAGGAAGAGGGAGAGAGAATGGGGGTGTTGCTTTATGCCCGGGATAGAATGCAGTCTAAACATGGGTATGCCTATAATTGTGCTTAATAATAGAGACATGAAAAAAAATGAGGGAAGAAAATAACAAACAAGCAGCCAACCAATATTTCATTTAAACCTGTAAATAGATGTGATGTGGTACTGATACGAGTGTATATTTTGTGTATTTAAAGTGGAGAGTTCTATAAATGTTAATTAAGTCTAATTGTTCCGGATCTGAGTTCAAATCCTGGATATCGTTGTTAATTTTCTGTCTCATTGATCTGTCTAATATTGATGTTGAAGTCTCCCACTACTATTGTGTGGGAATCTAGTCTCTTTATAAGTCTTATATATCTGGGTATTCCTGTATTGGGTGCGTATATATTTAGGATCTTTAGCTCTTCTTGTAGCATTGATCCTTTTATCATTATGTAATATCCTTCTTTGCTTCTTTTGATCTTTGTTGCTTTAAAGCAACTCCTGCTTTTTATTTATTTATTTATTTTTGCTCTCCATTTGGTTGGTAAATCGTTCTCCATCCCTTTGTTTTGAGTCTTTGTGTATCCTTGCATGTGAGATGGGTCTGGATGCAGCATACCAATGGGTTTTGGCTTTTTTTGTCTGTCTGTGTCCTTGGATTGGGGGATTTAGTCGATTTAAATTTAGAATTAATAATAATGTATGTGAGTTTAATACTGCCATTTAATGTTAGCTGGCTGTTTTGCCTATTAGTTGATGTAAATTCTTGATTATGTTGATGCTCTTTACTTTTTGGTATTTTTTAGAAAGGCTGATACTGGTTGTTCCTTTCTATGTGTAGTGGTTCTTTCAGAAGCTCTTGTAAAGCAGGCCTGGTGGTGATGAAATCTCTGAGTGCTTGCTTGTTCACAAAAGATTTTATTTTTCCTTTGCTTATGAAGCTTAGTTTGGCTGGATGTAAAATTCTGGGTTGAAAGTTCTTTTCTTTAAGGATGTTGAATATTGGCCCCCACTCTCTTCTAGCTTGTAGGGTTTCTGCTGAGAGATCTGCTGTGAGTCTGATAGGCTTCCTTTATGGGTAACCTGCCCTTTCTCTCTGGCTGCCCACTTCACCTACTTGTGAAAATGGGAAATATATGGGACACATCCCAGATCTACTAAATTATTACACAAACCTATTTCAAATACAACTGTGGTAAGTTTACTAATGGTTTCCCAAAATAGCCAGGTTCTAATCGTAGAAACCTGTGAATGTTACCTTATATGACAAAAAGGGCTTTGCAGATGTCATTAAGTCAATGATTTTATCTTGAATTATCAGAGTGGATTCTAAATGTAGTCTTAAGTGTCCTTTAAAAAGGGAGGCAAAGGGAGATTTTACTGCAGAAGAGAAGAAGATGATGAAACGATGCAAGTAAGAAATCAGAGCTGTGTGCTTTGAACGTAGAGGAGGGGGCAACAAGCCAAGGAATACAGGCAGACACCAGAAGCTAAAAAAGACAAGGAAATAGATTTTTCCCTAAAGCCTCCAGAGGGAAAACAACTCTACTGACCTTTATTTTAGACTTCTGAACTCCAGAACTGTAAAACAATAACTTTGTGTTGCTGTAAGCCACTTGGTTTGTGGTAATTTGTTAAGGCAACAAAAGGGAAATAATGCAGTCTTCAATTAATGATGTTACTCCATGATTTCCCAGAAAATACATGTAGATATACACACACATACACGCACGCATACAAATTTCCTGATTACTCCATTTATTTATTGGTTTATTTTTTAACCAAAAGTGCAATAAATGCAAATGTTACACAAAGTTATATTTTGGCATTACCATTTCAAGCACAGACAATTTTCTGCATGTAAGAGTTTTTACTCAGAGAATATTACATAGAACAAATTGATAGTTCGAATTGCAGGCCATATTTGCTTTGCGAACATGCACCAAGTGTGGGGGGTAGAAAGGGAACATCTTCTACAGCCCTCGAGTCAAGTCAAGCGCACCATTTTCATGCATTTCAAAGCACTCTGGTGCTTTGCCTTTATTTTGCCCTTAGGCATTTTTCTGTGGCATGTCGTTAAGTGCAATTTAAGTGAAAGATAATTACAAGCCCCAAGAAGATTAAAAACTTGGTTTAGAAAGTGGTTCAAAAGAATATAACATTCAGAAAATGCTCATTTCCCATCCATTTTCTTACCAACCACCACCTACTGTTGCCACCTAATATCAAGTCACTCCACTGGAGTGAATGACACACTTTTGCAGCATTATATTTTATGTACAAATTGCATTTATTTTTATTCAAGTTGTCAAGTTGGTATTAATTAGACAAATTTACTTTCATTATTCTATTAAGCAATTCCGCGAGGGATAAGTGCATGTGGCAGGCCCAGAAATCTGCAGTTACAAGCTCCTCACAGAATTTCCTAATGAAAATTAATGCTCGAGAAGCACTGCCTTAGAGAATCACAGGGGAACATTTATTACAGGCGGTCGCCCTCCATCACATTCCTCAGTCCTTTCCCTTTCAATTGCTGGTGTTTGCAAAGGAAAGGCAAATTAATATTATTTTCATAAGCGTGTTATAATTTTGATGGAAAAACTGAGATCCTTTAAAAATCACATAGGCAAACTAACATGGCTTTTTCTCAATTATTCGCTTACTCCCTTCCAGTAAAACACCTGATTCCAAGTGGACTGCAAGTTGGACAATTTGCAGATATCCAGATGGAGGACATTCATCAAAGGCATTCCTAAATGACTGTCAAATTTTGATAAACCTAGATTGGAGAAAGAAGAAAAGAAATGCATAATTCCGCATACACAGGAAGCGCAGTATCTAATCGCTGCATACCCATGTGTGCATATATATGTACACACCCACACCCATACCCACAACTGGCCTGAATAATCACAACTAGGAAGAGTAGAGCCTCAACTACAGGTACTTTCTGTTTTTGCTTTTAACCTAGCAGTTCTTAGCTCTCTCCTTTTTTGCCTGAAAGGGTATAAAGGTTTCGACCCCTTAGCCCAGCGTGGTACTTCGTTAATTAACATTTCTTATGGTTTTCTCTTCCCACCTGCCCTTATGGCATTTTTCAGTATTATATCTGTATTTTAATTGCACTTTAAGTGAAAGGTAATCATGAGCCTCAAGTAGATTAAAAACTTGGTAAAAAAAAAAAAAAAATTGACTCTCTTCTGCCCAGTAGAACAGCCTGTAGGGTAACAGGTGGATTTTCCCCATATTTTTATTCCCTAAAGTTTATTCATTCATTTGTTAAGTATATGAACATACATTCCTTCATCTAAGAGAGAACAGATGTTATCCACTTTGTTGCTACTAAATCGTAAGTGTGCAAAATGTCGCCGATGCTAACATATCATTACTAACATGAGATACCTGTGCTGATCCTTATTTGCAAAGGGCAGTCAGGTCAATGGTGAAGAAGATAGATAGTCCCTGTCCTCACAGACTTTAAATTTAGTGAGGAAAGCAGTGGACTAAGAATTTCATTATCTTATGAAAAGGGATATGATCTGAGAAGTGTGAGGTGCTAAAGAGGTGCCGAATTTAATCTAACTTGCGCAGTGCAGGATGGGTGTGTGTGTTGCGGGGAGGGTGCTGCATTAATATTTGCTGAAATGAATTCAGTGCTTGCCCTCCACTTCCTTAGATCCTCAACACTGATTGTTAGAGGAGACTTATGAGTCATTCTTGACTCTTGATATTATAACCATGTCTTTGGTTTATTAGTTTCTCGATATGTTTACATAAGAGGAAGAGGGTTGCAAAGTCTTTAATATACACGCAGAGCTCTTGGCTTTCAAGGAAGTACTTTAAGAAATGATGCAACAAATACATTCAATTTAATGAATATTTATGGAGTACATACAATTTTCAAGGCTTTAGTGGTAGATACAAAAAATGAAGTCAATCGTCCTTGGTTTCAGAGGTCTTAAATGCAAGTGTGTGTGTATATGAGGCTGGTGGGCAGGAAACAGGGAAAAATGGAATGGGAACAAGAGAAGAACAAGTAAAAGCATGTACACAAATAATCAAAGAAGGAAACTTATTCCACAAGTGAGTCAGAAGATAAGAGCATTTGTTCACGATACAAATATTGGCCTGATGCAATTTCTTTTAGGAGAAAACAAACAATGAGCTCAGAACAATGGGAAGTTCTGAGAAAACAGCAGGTGACATAACCCCTGCATTCGAATATTGGCTCTTCCAGGAGGGGCCAACTGAACATACTCCACACTCCTCTTAGTCTGGGAACCGACCTCCTTGTGCTCCCCGGCCCCTGTACCATATTAAAAGGCAACTCCACCTTGCCCTTTACATGCCCTTTACTCTAACGAGATGATGAAATCTTGAGCCCAGCCACATGCCAGAGCATTGCCATCTTGGCACCTAGTGACTGTGTCTAACCCATGGTAGACACTTCATTAACAGCAGTTGAGCTGAACTGGGCACTCCATACATTATAGAACATATCATAAATTATCAATAAAGATTTGGTAACTTAGGTGGTGCCACTTTAGAAATCAAGGAGTAAAGGTTTTAGAAATCATCTTTTCAAGATTCTTGCAGTTAATGTGCAATTACCTGGAGAAGTAGTTAAAAATAAAGACACCCTCTGAAACTTTGATGCAGAAATGTTGCAGTCAGGATCCAGAAATCTGCTTTTTAAACAAGCTTCTCAGTTAATTCCAGAGCCACATTTTGAGAAACTCTGCTCTCCTTACAGAGCTTTCTAGCAAAACTATACTTGTCTTTCTGATTTATTGCACAGGTTCATCTTGAAACCCAGGGAGAAGGAATTTATATAATTCACACTGATGAATCATAGTAATGTTTTCATTTTTGAAAGTTGGGCAACAAAATTGCTCTTTGGGTGAAAATCAGACATGATTAGTTAGTCCACTCCTGACTAATTGTTATCTCAGCCCATAAATCTGAGCACGCATGCAAACCTGTACTAATGTCATGTAGGATACATCTCTACGCCTCTGTACAGCCATAGAGAGCAACCTGTACCTAGATAAAGGGAGGTATCTCAGAATTGTTTTAAACAAATGTCATTCATTTCTTTTTCTTTGTCTTTTTAAGACAACTTTTCTCTCTGTAGCCCAGGCTGAAGCACAGAGGCATGGACACAATCACAGCTCACTGCAGCCTTGACCTCCCAGGCTCAAGCAATCCCTCCACCTTAGTCTCCCCAGTAGCTGGGACTACAGGTGTGCATCACCACACCCAGCTAATTTGTTTATTTTTTGTAGGTCTCGCTATGTTACTCAGGCTGGTCTTGAACTCCTGGACTCAAGGAATTCTCCCGCCTCAGCTTCCCAAAGTGCTGAGATTACAGGTGTGAGCCACCATGTCCAGCCTTATCATTAATTTCAGGGTTAAATTATAAGGGTTTCTTGAGTTATCCAGATTCAATTTTCTAAATATCAGGCTGAACAAAACTTAGCTATATATGCATCCCCAGAAACCTGAAATACCTAGAAATTATGGGAAGCAACACTCAAAATGTCAGTAAATCAATATTGGCTAGACTCCTAAACAAAATAAATTTTCAGTAAACCCCATTGTGATTTCAGAATTAACACAGATTTTGTAAGAGTGCCATAGAGAATTAAAGACCTCAGTCTCCAAGCCATGGGAGTTTGCCTCTGGCAGCCATATTGAAATGAAGGTAATTAACACAGTTCATCTTGCAATAGGATACTGCTTTCAGGCTCTTTGAAATTCTACAAGCATCCCACCCAGACCCAGTAACCCTTTGAAATATGCTGAACCATGGCAGTTAACACACAAGGGGATCATTAAATGAATAAGAAAAGGCAGAGAAATCACAGTTTGTAACTGAGATCATTTCATGGGCAGTTTGCCAGCTATTTGGGAAAGTCTAACACAAAGGTTTCTTCATATGAGGCATTTATAAAGTGTAGTGCTATGACTCTACAAAATCACTTTTAAAATTATTTTAAAGGACATTGCCTTTCAAATTATTTTCTAAGTCCTGTTCCTTAAAAATTATTTTGATGTAAAAATTTAGGAGGCAGATGATAATACTATTAAATTTTATCAGCAACAGAAAGTAGTCTTCAGGACAAAGGATCAGGACATTTCCTATATGTAGTCATTGTTATCTGTTACACAGTGGAAACCATTCTCAGATATCAGATTATGGTCACTTTTGTCCAGACAATAATGATTATGCAGGCAACACTTACAGAGCACAGGCAGGGGTTTTGAAATAGCTGGCAAGGCTGAGAAACAATGATTTCACATCTTGAGTGAGAAAGAGGAAATATTTAAAAGTCATTTTAAAACGACCAAAATTGGAATAAAATACAGGCATCATCACAATAACCTGAAAAACAGTTACTTACAAGCTATAGTTACCATCAACGAGTATGTGAAGACACTGGCTAAGATTTCTCCCATAAACCATCTGAAACAACAAGATTGCTCTGATTTAGCATACTGATTAGGCATTTCCAACCTAATTCCAATGTGATGTTTTTTAGATTTACTATAGACACATGATTTCAAGGTTTACTATAAAACTACAGTTTTTTTTTTCCCATTTATTTTATTGCATTTTAGGTTTTGGGGTACATGTGAAGAACACGCAAAATTATTGCATAGGAACACACGTGGCAGTGTGATTTGCTGCCTTCCTCCCCATCACCTACATCTGGCATTTCTCCCCTTGCTATCTCAAGAGAGTGTGGTATTGGCAAATGGACAGACATATAGATCAATGAAAGACAGTAGACAGACCAGAAGTAGACTCATGCAGAGCAACTGATTTGAATTGAAGTGCAGAAGCAATTCAAAGGAAAACATACAGTCTTTTCAGTCAATGGTGTTGAAACAATTGGATATTTACATGCAAAAAATGAACTTCAACATATATAACAACCTTACACAAAATTTAACCCAAAATGGGTCATAGACCAAAAATGTAAACTGTAAAAGTGTAAAACTTCTAGAAGAAAACATAGGGGAATATTGACATGATCTTGCATTTGGCAATGAGTTTTAAAATACAATATGAAATGTACAATCCATGAAAGAAAAGAAATGAATAATTGGACTTTATCAAAATGTAAAACTTTTGCACTGTGAAAGACACTGCTAAGAGAATGAAAAGACAAGGTACAGTCTGTGAGAAAATATTTGCAAATGGCATATCTGATCAAGGACTTCTATCCATAATATATAAAGAACTCTTAAAATTCAATAATAAGAAAATAAGCAGCCCACTTGAAAAAATGAGCAAAAGATCTGAACAGACACTTCACCAAATATATGCAAATGGCAAATAAGTATAAGAACAGATGTTCAACATCATTCATTATCAGAGTAATGCAAATTAAAACAGTCAGATACCACTGCATACCTAGTAGAATGGCTAAAACCCAAACAACTGACAAACGAAATGCTAGGGAAGATGCAGAGCAACAGAAACTCTCATGCATTGCTGTTAAGAATGAAAATGGTGTAAACACTTGGAAGATAGTTTGGCTCTTGCTTACAAAGTGAAACACAGACTTACCATATAACCCAACAGTTGCACCCCTTGATATTAATTCAACTGTGTTGAACTCTGTGTCTGTGCAAAAATCTGCATGTGATTCTTTGTAAAAGCTTTGTTCAAAATTATCAAAAACTGGAAGCAACGAAGACACACTTCAATAGGTGAATGTATAAACAAACTGGTACATTCATACAAGGAATATGATTCAGCAGCAAAGAAGAATTAGCTAATTGTAGAATGGCATATTTATTATTGCTATGGGTTAGTATCTTTTCTTAGAGGAAGTAAATAGTTTTCTATATTAATCATATACAATCAAAATATTCCATAGGATAAACAATTGTTTCTAACAAAATAAGAAATGAAGGGAAGACAGAAATGGTGGGAAAAACTGAAGCCCCATAAGTGATGGCAGCAGCAGCCCATCTGGAGCAGGTGCTGCAAATACACCAGCTGCAGTAAGGGAGGCGTGGCCAGGGTTGTGTGCTACATAGAGCCTGCAGGAACTGGGAACAGGAGGTAGCCCGGAAGCAGGAGGGAGCCAGAACTGGAGGGAGCCCGGAACCGGAACTGGAAGGGAAAGAGGCCCGCCCTCCTAGGTGCAGCTGCGGCTGCCCAGCCACGTCTTCAAACCCAGGCATCCCTGCCCTCTTGGGGGCCTTGGAAGCCCCTCTGCCCCTGCAGGCTTGGAAGCGCCTGCTCCTGCCCCTGGCCTCTCTCTACTCCTGTTGCCTGCTCTGCTTTCCCAGCAAAGTCGTGGCTGGGCCCCCATGCTATCACAACCTAGCCGGATGTCTGCGCATTTCCAGCGGTACTGACAAGACGCTGCCTGCTGTCTCAGCCCCCTCCAGACTTTGAACACCGACCAGCGTGTGAGGGAGGCCGAGAGAGGGCTGAGGGCAGCTTCGCCCTGCAGGCAGCCCCCACCCCCACCAACAGCCTGAGTGCCATGGGTGATCTGTTGATGGTGGCAGGAGGCAGAGTGGATCCTGGGCAGAAAGGGGTGTGTCCCTGGTGAAGCCCCACCTTCCAGCCAGGGACCGCCTGAAGCCTGGGAGCCGGGCTGCCAGTTCCCCGGGAAGGAGGCCCAGAGTGAGAACTTACAGTGCTTTTTCTGGTCCCCCTCCCCTGCCGCCATGGCTGCCCATGGACCAATCAGCACAAAGGTCCTCCCTTCTGAGCCCATAAAAGCCCCCGGACTCAGACTCACAGAGAGGTTGGGACTATCAGCTATGGGAAGGAGCTACCCACTACTCTTCTCAACTTGGGATGACTTGCCTGCAGAAAGGAGCTACCCACTCTGCGTCTCCTCTCCATTGAGAGCTGGACACTCATCAAGATGACCTGCCTATGGATAGGAGCTACGTGCTGCATGAGGGCTGAACTCATCAGGACTATATGCCTGTGGAAAGGAGCTACCCATTTCAGGTCTCCTGAGAGCTGTTCTGTTGCTCAGTGATGTGCCTCTCTACCTTGCTCACTCTCCAGGTGTCTGCATGCCTCATTCTTCCCGGATGCAGGACAAGAACTTGGTACTGGCCAAATGGCAGGACTGAAAGAGCTATAACACCAACAGAGCTGAAACATCTCCCCACTCCACCTTGCCCAGCAAGTTGTGGAAAAGAAGGAGAGAACAGTTGCAGCCCCTTGGGGAGTGCAGACCTAGGGGTTCCCTAAGCCAAGGCTGAAACATCCTCCTTGGGGCTGTGTGGTTCCTGACATCTCCAGGCTTTTGGGTGCCACCTCATTTCCCTTGTCCAGATGCTGGTGTCCACAGCAGAAGCTGCTCCTGGTATGTTTGATCCAGCCAGCCATACCTCACATGGAGCTGGCACCTGTGAGGTGCCAGTTAGGGTTAGGGTTAGGAGTTGCCTGCCTCACTGCAGCAGCTGGTGTGTCTGGCTGTGCACAGTGACCAGACCCCACACTTGTTTGCTCACACATCCGTCACCATTTCACACCTTGCTTGCCCTTGGCAGGCATGTGATCCAGGCTGGTAGTGTTGGCCAAGCGCAGCCTGCCAGGCTGAGTGAGTGGAACAAGACCAGTGGACACAAGCAATACTTAGGAAGAAGGCGCCACCAGCAACAGAGGTTTCCAGCTGGCAAAGTGACACCCCAAGGATCCCATGACAAAAGGAGCAAAATTCAATGTGAGATCTAAGCTCATATTTCTGCTCCCTTCCCCACCTTTCTGTTTTTGGTAATAGTTACTTTTAAGCTAAAAAAATGAATGAGGTATTAATTCATGCAACAGCATGTATAAATCTTTCTGCATCTTGCTCTATGAAAGAAGCAAGACTGAAAAAGCTATGTTCTGTATGACTACATTAATATAACAATCTAGAGAAGCCAAATCTATAGGGACAGGAAACAGATCAGTGGATTTCAGGAGTTTGGGGAAGGAGTGTTTGACTAGAGAACCACAGAGAAACTTTTAAGTATGATAGAACTAGTTTGTATGGTACTGTAGTGATGGATATATGGCATTGTGCAACTTGTCAAAACCCATAAAATTTTGCAGCAAAAGAGCAAACCTTCATGCTTACAAATTTAGAAATATCAATCAGGAAGTTAGGGGATTCCAGGATGGAATGCAGACAAAATAATCTAAGTAGTATACATGTATAGCATAATCTTACTGAAGGGAGTAGGGAAAAATAACTTTGGAAAATGGAGTTTCAGCTGTACTCGAGTCAGGAAGATTGTTTCTCACAGTTGGTATTCATTAATTCAGATATGTCTGCATGTGTAAACTAGCATTGAACAAATTAGTAAGTGGATGCCAGATGGTGGAAACCTGGTTTCTAACTGTAGGAGCACGAGGTTACAGGGAGGCAAGGTGAGGAGAAGGCTAGAATGAAGCGTGTGGTATTGGGTTAGAGTTAGATATAACAATATGAATGATATTTTGCTTAAAATATATGCATAAATGGTTACAAAAATAATTTTTGATATGTAGGTACATATGGGTCAGTATACATACACATATTTCTTATTCCATCTACTGACTGGCTATAGAAGCAATAACATCCCAGTAGCTCTGAGCACACCCAGCACCTAGATCTTGGTTTCTAGTGTTCTATAATAGAAAGAATAAGGGGTTCTTAGAAAAAAGGCTGAGGGCTAGGGCAGGAAAAACACCAATTGAGTGTGAATTATCTGGTAGTAACAGAAGCAAGAAAGCGTTCAAGAAAAAAAAAGATTAGGAGCATGTGAAAAGGATACAGGAACCAACCTGAAAGAGCTCTCAATGGCAAGAGTCAGAACAACTTGCAAAAGAAAGAGAAAAACATTGTATAACGTTATAACCCAGAGTATAAAATAAAAATGTGTAAGTACCTACTGATATAAATAAATGTTTAAATAAATAAGTGAAAAGGGGGAGGCTAAAACTAAGAGGATGATTAAGGAAGTCTAGCGTCACAATGGGAATAGGTGCTCCCCAGTCGATTTAAGGAGAAAGCTATTTTATCTGCAGGAAGAGTGCTCACAAAGGCAGGGGTTGTAAAATGACTTGGTGTTTAACAGGCTAGAATTAGTGTGGTAGGGAAAAGGATAGTGCAGTGGGTCTGACATTCCTGGACCTGGGAGAATAAATAGATAGCAGGTGGGAAGATGGAAGAAGCAGATCTGAAGCTCATTAAGTAGCTGGACTTAAAGCTGTTGGCTAATTGAGTCTTATAAAGATGGCATTGGAGGGAAACTGGTAGGAGGAAAATTAGTTAGGAGGCTACTTGTAAAGGCTCAATATATATCTGAATCAGAGTCATGGCAGTGAAGAGATGGAGGTCTAGATGACCCACACCTGTATATTCCATAGCACATTTTGTCTGTGAAAAAGCTATTCAAACAAGTCAGACCTAACACCCCTTTTAAAAATAAACATTTCATTTAATAACAGTAATG